CTGCCGACGGCGGGGAGGCAAGCACGGCTCGGGAGCGGCGTGACGGAGGCAAGGAGCGCGGCGCCCGACGTGGGCGAGATGGTGCCATCGGCGGGGTGCGAGGGGGGGAAGCGAAAAGGAAAAGGATTCTCACAAGGCGACGGGGCTGCTCAGAAACCCTTTGCACCTTCTGGCAGGTGTTTTCTGGGCGTTCTGACAAGCAGGTGTTTCATGTGTCTTGCAGGCCCGAAGTTTCCTGGGCGTTCTGACAAAGCCTGCAGCTCTTCACTCCCTCCCTGGGCGCGCCGCCGAAACCTTGCACCAATCGGGAGAAAGGAAAGGCACGGGAGAAAGAACGGAATGGAAGAGAAACCATGCATCTGAACTGGAAAAAAACGAAGATAGGCATGAACGCAGGGAAGAGGGGGAGGAGGGAGGAGGAGGGAGGAGGGGGAGGAGAGGAGGGGAGGAGGAGGGGGAGAAGGAGGAGGAGGAACGCGGGGACCGTCTCTTCAAAACGAGGACCCAACAACACAGGTTGGTTGGGAAATAGGCATGAACATAAACTGTTCACGTACCGCGCGGATTTCCTGGATCGGCGCTGGGCCCCCCTCTGGCGGTCTCTGGCGCCGCCCCCGGCGCGTTCCGCGCGCCGGGGAAGATGGGTCAGCGCAGATCCACGAAATCCGCGCGGAGTTCCGAAAGGGTATGTGTTCATGCACGTGGACTTTTTTGAACTCCTGTGCTCGAGAACTCAAACGTCTACGCTTTCGTCGTTCGTTCGCGGCCTGCCCCCTCCCTGGACTGCCCCTGACAGAACACCACCGCAAATGATTGCGGTCAGCAGGCGCGCCGGACCGGAACGGAAACGGAAAACAGAACCCTGGAGCAGAAAACGAAAATCCGTTTTCCGTTTTCCAGTTTCCGTTTTCCGGTTTCCGTTCCATGGTTTCCGTTTTCCGGTTTCCGGTCTGGGCAGAAAACGAAGTTGCGTTTTCCGTTTTCCTTTTTCGGGTTTCCGTTTTCCGTTTTCCGGTTTCCGGTTTCTGTTTTCCGTTTTCCGGTTTCCGGTTTCCGTTTTCCGTTTTCCGGTTTGGGCGGAAAACGAAGTTCCGTTTTCGGTTTTCCGGTTTCCGTTTTCCGGTTTCCGGTTTCCGGTTTTCCGGTTTCCGGTTTCCGTTTTCCGGTTTCTGGTTTCCGTTTCCGGTTTTGGCAGAAAACCAAATTCCGTTTTCCGTTTTCAGGTTTCCGTTTTCTGGTTTCCAATTTCCGCTTTCCAGTTTCCGTTTTCCGCTTTCCGTTTTCCGGTTCCCGGCTTGGGCAAAAAAGCGAAATTCCGTTTTCCGTTTTCCGTTTTTCGCTTTCCGGTTTCCGGGTTCCGTTTTCCGTTTTCCGTTTTCTAGTTTGCGTTTTATTGCTTGCCGCCCGCGCCCAGCACAGGCCCCCCCCCCCCTCTTGTCGTCAAAAGCTGGTACGCCGAGGGGCCGTTCTTGCGGAATTGGGCTTCAGTTTACTTTCGGTGCGCCTCGCCCAGACAAACTCAACATTTGCCAGGGCACAAGTCAAGAGGTCGACAGTTGCATTCGAATGCCCGGTGACTGTACGGCACCGCGGGCACCGGCGGATTGGCGCCAGAAGGTCCAGACACTCCGGCCAGAGCTTCGCCACTCTCCCCGTCATCCACGCCGTCATCCTCGTCATCGGCCGCCTTGTCGTCGCCCACTTCTTTTTGTTGGTTTACGTTCGAGCCTAACGGACAAACGCGGCGCTCTGCGTTCTTGTCCGATCAGGCTGGCGCCAGAGGGTCCGGAGTCTCCGGCCAGAGCCTCGCGAGCCGATGGCGGTGCCGATCGCCCCCCCGACCCTCTCTCGCTGCGCCGGGCGGCCTGGCCGCTGCCGCTCGGGCGGTGCGGCGGGACGGCCCTGCCGGGCCAGCTCGTGGGTTCTCCGCGGCATGGCCAATGAGAGCTGGGGCTGGGAGCCCCGGATCTCTGGGCCCCGCCTCGATGGCAGGGGCCCCGAAACAGCTCGGGGAAGCTGGGCGACCACACGAGCGGCTCTCAAAAGCGGGCCTCACGCGAGATGGCGCAGCGGCCTTACGCCACAGCTTACGCGGGACGCGAGCGCGGCACGCTGCGTTTTTTTCCACGATCAAGAGCGGGCCCTACGCGAGATTGCATAGCGGCCTAACGCGGCGGCTTGAGCGGGCCGCCAGCGAGGATAAGATTTGTTCGATCTGGGCCGTGCCCCTCGATCTCGACCTCTGGGGCCCGTCTTTCGGGCCTCGGGGCCGCCAGCATTGGGTCCACGGGGCGAGGCACTACCCCCAGGGGCAGGAGTCGGGAGCTGCTGGGGGGTCGCGGATTGAACAAAAAATCAGACAGCCGGACCGAGGTACAAGATCGAGGTCGGCTCGTGGAGGGTAACCTATTGTTCTTCGTGTTTGTGGGATGTTCCACGCGCTCAGGGCGTGACCCGTCCCCCTGAGAGGCCTCGCTCCCTCCCCGCCCCCTCCTTCGGCCGCTTCCTCTGCCCTGTCCCCTTCTCCTGCATGGTGGCGCACTTCGCCGCAACGGCACCCCCGTTTAGTTAGCTCTCCGCCAGCGCAGTTACTCTGCCTAGCCACCGACGCAAAAATAACAGTTTGTGGGATGTTTTGGGGGCATCCTGGGGGATGAGATTCTCGAGTGATCGCATGGTTTGGGTTGTTTTGGCCGGCGGATGGCCTTGTGTTCCTGTGGGATGTTCTTCAGTCCTGGGTCCGATTGCATTGGAGGATGTCTGGAACCGACGCCGAGCTCCCCCGCCCCACGTTTGCTGCTTACCGCCTGCCCCCCCCGCCAACCAACAGTCTTCCCTCCCCAGTCAAATATTGATGCACCGAGGGGGGCTGCCCCCGCGGAGTTGGGGTTCAATTCAACTTCGGCGTGCCCTGTTCACTGGGATTTCGTTCCTCATGTGGCAAAGGTCAGGAGGTCCACGGATGCATTCCATTGATCCGTGCGTTCGCAGATATGGCCGCGCCCGAGCTGGAGGAGGGGCCAGAGGTCGTTCTCTGGCCTGGGAGATTTGCACTTCTCCTCGGCAAGCGCCAGAGAAAGTGGCCTGGAGGCGCCGATGGGCACCTAGCACCGCTGGCGAACACGGATTGCGGGAGCGAGGAGAGCCTAACCGCCTCTCCCTTTTGGGCTTAGCTGGTTCTCGCGCTCGGTGACGATGAGCAGGCCATACAGTGCTCGCAAGCAGGGCCTGACTTCCACGAGTGGGAGTTCGCCAGCCACGCGTGGGTCACAGCTCGGGGGTCATTCATGGAGAGGTTCGGCCGAAACTTAACCAAGGCTGGGATCGACCCTCTCCGAGTTCTCGCCCCGTGAGGCTACTTCAGAAGATGGTACTGGCCAGGTCAGACAGAGCAAGACGGAAAGATTTGTGCGGAGGGTCTGTAATGATGCCCGCGTGCTTCAGTTTCTTGCCTTCCACTGCCTGTGGTGTCGGCGAGAATTCTTGGACATATGTTTCACTAGCTTACGCCGCACCGCCGACCCCCTAGGCCCGCAGATGCCAAGATCTTAGTCTAGGCGCTTCGCGTAACTCCACGAGCTCACGCAGAAACGATGTCCAGGCGAGTTGCCCTGATCCCGGATACGGAGGAGCACGCAGTGGAATAAGGGATTGGGGAAGCCGTCATACAACGAGAGGGGGGGGGGGACAGAGGAGGAGGAGGAGGAGGAGGAGGAGAAGGATGAGGGAGAGGGAGAGGGGGGGGGCGGAGGGAGGAGGGAGGAGGAATAGGCGGATGAGGAATAGGAGAAGGAGGAGGAGGAAGAGGAGGAGGAGGTGAGCAGAAGGGCCAGAGGCCTCCTGCATGCCTCTCGGAATCTCTTCGTATGTCTCTTGAGAGCTTCTTGGAGTCCTGCTTGGACGTCTTGGGGGCGTCCTGGCGGTCCCAGGACCCTCTTGCAGCGTCTTGGTACCTCAGGCCTCTTGGGGGGTTCTTGGGAGCTTCCTGGGGACCTCTTTGTGGCCTCTTGGGGCCGCTTGGGCGCCTCTTGGGGCCCTCCTGGGGCACTCTTGGAAGCCTTGGAGACCATCTTTGGGCCATCTTGGAAGAGCTCGATCAAAGAAGGGGGGTCCTTCTTAGCCTCTCCCCCCCCACCCCCCAACACCTCAGGAGAATCAGTGATTTGTAGAATCTCGCCGAGGCCTTCTTGGACGCTCAAATCGGTCGCGGCACCTCCATTCCAGGTCCAGGGGAGGGGGTGGGGGGAGGGGTTAAGTTACCCCCTCCCCGCCCGCAGGCCGTCTCGCTCAATCCCACCCGCCCTCCCAACACATACGTAGCACCCGAGTCTGGCCCGAGCCTCAGCATATTCAGCAGTCGTCTTGGGATGGGGAGCTACTGGGGGCCAATCCGCCTCCGCCTCCTCCTCCTCCTCGCCCTCCTCCTCCTCCTTCCCCTCCTCCTCGTCCTCCTCCTCCTCCTCCTTGCCCTCCTCCTCCTCCTCCTCCTCCTCCTCCTCCCATCTCTTGCCTCTGCACTCCGCATGTCCTCATCATCATTATATGCGCGCAGGCAGTTCCACCTACATGTCGGCGAACCCCTCGCGCGCTCCGCGGCCACATTGGGTGCTCCACCAAAGGCCCCAGGGCAGGGTCCGCACGCAGTTCCACCTCCATTTCGGCGCACCCTCCACGCGCTTCGTGGCCACATTGGGCGCTCCACCGAAGGCCCCAGTGACAGGATCCGCATGCAGTTCCACCTCCATGTCGGCGCACCCCTCACACGTTTCGTGGCCCCACTGCGATCGCACGGTGGCACCGCGCCCATTTCGGCACACCCCTCAGAAGCGTCGTGGCCCTAGGCGGGCCTCTACTGAAGGCTCCAGTGGCTGCTTTCGCCAGGCGGCACCGCGCCCGCGTCGGCGCGACCCTCGCACGCTTCGCGGCCCAAAAGGGGGCTCCACCGGAGGCCCCAGGAGCTGCGTTCGCATGGCGGCCCCGCACCCAAGGCGATACACTCT